TACGTCTGTGTGACAATTGTGTGTGTGTGTGGTGGGTGGCTGTGCTGTGTGTTGTGTTCTGAGGTGTGTGTGCATGTTGTGTGTGTGTGATGTGTGTGTGTGTGTGTGTGTGTTGTTGTGTGTGTGCCTTCTCAGTTAGTTTGAATGTGTATAACTGTGTGTGCGTGTATCGGGTGGGTGACACGGAGGGCTGTGGTTGTGTGCTATTATGTGGACATGCGGAGTATAAGCAAACATTTGTTGCGTTATCTATGTGAGAATATATATAGTACGGGCGTGTGCTGCGTGTGTGGTCGTACATAGAGAAACGCACACCGTGAAAGCACCGAGGCTGAGAACCAAAATTGGCCGATGTATAGAAAAGGAGGGAAGCTAGCCCCCTAATGCCGATATATCTTATTGGCGCACAGTCTACCTGGCTTTTCCCAAATTTCCTGCTCGTCCGGGTCCGCGCTGCTCGCTTCGCATATTATACGGCGCCCTTTTCCCTAAATCGAGTCTATCGTCCCTTGCTTTCCTGCGTCGATATGACAAACAAAAGGAAAAGAGCAAGGATGGAGAAAGAACGGAAAAGAAAAAAGACCAAGAGATTAAGCGGAAAAAGCGAGAGAAAGGCAGAAGGGGAAAGAAAAAAGAAAGAAGGAGAGAAAGGAAGGAATAAGAAAAAAAGGAAAAATAGAGGGAGAAGGAGAGAGGGAAAGAAGGGGGGGAGCGAAAAGAAAAAAAAGAGAATAGGAGAGGAGAAAAAAAGGAGAGAAAGGAAGTAAGGAAGGAAAAGAAGAAAAGGGAAAAGTGGAGGAAAAAGGGCAAGTAGGAAGAAGGAAAAAGGAAAAAAGGAGAGAAAAGAAGAGAGAAAGAAAAAAACAAAAGATGGAGAAAGAAGGAAAAGAAAAAGAAAAGGACGGAGAAAAGAAGGAAAAAGGAAAAAAAAAATTTATCTCGCACGTGAAAGGGAGAGCCTCCCCTTGCTATTGTTCTTTTTTCCTAAAACCGTTATTCTCTTTTGCGTTTTCCTTTTTTTGAGGGGGAAGGGATAAAAGAGGAGGAATGTTTTTTTTTTCTTTCTATTTCTTTCAGATTCTTTCAGCGTTTCGTGCTCGCCTAGTTTATCCTTCTCCACATTACTCTCCCTCTCCGCGCCTCTCCCTCTCTTCCTCTTCTCCTTTCTCTTCGGCCCCTTCCCTCTCCCTTCTCCCTTTTTCTGTCCCTCTGGTTCTCTCTCTAATCCTGGCCTGACTCGTCGTGGCTCCCTGCTCCATCCGCTGCCCCCTTCCCCTTCTCCTTCCTCTTCCTTCAATTCGTTTATCTGCTCCTTCTTCTCCCTTTCCCATTTCTTTCTTCCTCCCTTGCTACTTCCCTTCTAATCTTTATTCTGCCCCTTCTCCCTTCCCATTTCTTCTCTCCGGCTTCCTGCTTCCCTCAATTCTTTCATCTGCCCCTTCTTTCCTTCCCATTTCTTTCTCTCCCTTCCTCTTCCCTCAATTCTTTATCTGCCCCTTCTTCCTTCCATTTCTTCTCTCCCTTTCCTCTTCCCTCAATCTTCATCTGCCCCTTCTTCCTTCCCATTTCTTCTCTCCCTTCCTCTTCCCTCAATCTTTATTTGCCATTCCTTCCCTCTTCACGAATACATTTTTAAAATCAAAGTCTAAAACATCCAGACGAAGCTATAGTAAACGGGGAAAAATACTCGCGAGAAAATAAAAAATGAAAGCGAGAATACAGAAGAAAAAAAACATATGTGAAGGTAAAAGGAAAGAAAACAATGAAGAAAGCAAAAGAAGGGAGTAGAAAAAGAAAAATGTGAAATCAAGTAGAGAAAAGGAAAGAAAACGGAAAGGTCAAAAGAGAAAATTTTCGGAGCCAATTCCGCGACCTAATTAATTAACGCCTAATGCCATACCTATCAGACCCTTCGCCTTTTGCAATCGAAATCCTGCAATATCCTTTGCATCCATCAATTGCAGCCTCCAGAAATCCTGCTTCGGCCCTTAAATGAACTCGAGATGTTTTTCATATCTGAAGTATCCACAATCTCTATCCATTTTTTCTCTCTCCCCTTCTTCCCTTCTCCTACTCCAACTCTCCATCCTATCCCCTATCCCTCTCTATCCCTCCCTTTCCATCCTATCCCCTTTCCCTCTCCCTCCCAACCACCCTCCATTCTCCCTCCATCCATCTATTTGCGCATCTTCCAAACATTTGATACGCCAACATTTTCCCACCCACCCACCTCCGCCCCGCCCCCGCCCGCCCCCGCCCCCCCCGCCGAGTCCGAAACAGACTTCGCAGCACGAAATTGGCTGAGCTAATGGTATTTCTGTAATCTAGTTTGGCAGGAGTGACATTAAAGGTTGATCTAGCCGAAAGCAGAGGGGCGACTGGCTCGGCTGACATCACCTGCGGCGCGAGTATTTCGAAATTAAGAGGAAAAAGAGGAGAGGGAGAGGGGGAGGGAGGCGGACCGAAAATCAAATTAGGATTGTTAAAAAAGAAGAAAAAGGGTTTTCTGAAGAATATGGGAAGAAAATTGATGGAGAGACAGAGAGAGAGAGGCTATGCCTGTCTCTTTGTTCTGTTTGACCTAATTAAACCCACGCTTATAGAATGTTACCTTGTCATTTTTTTTAAAGTAAAGATAGGATGTTATTTTGAGACGTAACTCGATTTCAGTTTTTAGCGATGACTAAAAATAAACGCCCCCTAAATAAAGTCTCTTCCATTCTTTTTTCACTTTTCATTATCTATTTTTCTTCCATCCTTCCCTCCCTCCTCCCTCTCCCCCATACTTACAGATATTGGACTCGGCGTGGTTGACGGTCTTCTCGTGGTGCAGGTTGTCGGCCAGCAGGAAGGCGGCCTCCTCCAGCCCAGCAGCAGCGCGGTGGCCGCCGCCCTGTGCTCGGGCGGGCGCAGGTCCGCCCACGCGTCTCGCTGCCCGCCCATGAGGTGCGAGCCGTGGCGATGGCGGCGCCCACGAGCTCCGTGACGAGGCCTCGCGCTGGTCGCGGTCGGGGAAGTTGCTGACGTCGTCGTCGCCATGCGCCGCGCCAGGCTGTTCAGGAGCCTGGCCGTGGCCGTCACGTCGCCGCCGTAGAGCGCCCGCGACCCCCGTCACCGTGGCCAGGTCGTGCGCCACCGCCAGCACCGCGTCGTTGGTGTGCGCGCGCGCCGTCAGCGTCGTCAGCCACAACACGCTGCGGCACTCGCCAGGTCGGCGGGGGGCCCGCCCAGCCCAGCGGGTTACAGGGGCGGCGCGCCCAGCCCGAGGCGCCCCCCGGGCACGGCTGCACGGCCACCTCGCCGCCCTGAGTCCAGTTCCAGAACAACCCGCGGCCGGAGGACGGCGGGCACCACAGGCCTCGCTGATGGGCACGCCGACCTCCGTGGCGGGGCACCTCGGCGCGCGGGGCCCACACGGCTGCAACAGAGGCTCGCGTCAGTGAGGAAGGCGAGGAAAGGGGGCTACTTGCACCGAGAAAGGGCGGGGTTAATGGTCAAATAAGAGACAAGAACAGAAATGAGAAACCGAAAACCGGACTTACTGGTGGTGGAGATGGTCGAGGTGGAGACTCTGTCGGCGTCGGACGCGTCGGGCCCGTCCGTCGGTGGCGGCCCCCTTGGCCGCGTCCCGGTGCTCGTGGTCGTCTCTGCCGCCCTCGGACCCGCCCTCGGAGGGGACGGCGGGCGCCTCCAGGTTGGTGTTGGGGCGCGCCGTGGTGGACGTGGTCGAGGACGACGGCTTCGCGGTCGAGGTGGTCGTTGACGTGGTGGAGGAGGTGGTGGTGGAGGTCGTGGTGTTCTTGGTGGTGTTGGTGATCAGCCACGGCGGCGGGCGCAGCGTCGTCGTGGTCGTGGTGGAGGTGGTCGTCTGTGGGAGGTCCTCTGCGGGCGTTCCCTTCAGCCGGTTGCCGAGGTCGGTGCCCACGACGTCGGCGGCGCCGCCCACGACGCCTGTGCCGTCGCCTCCCTCTACGCTTCCTTCAACACCGGCGCCAAGGCCGCCCTCGCGCTCTACGCCGTCGGTGACGGGCCGCCCACTGGCGCTGCTTCCGCCAGCGCCGGCGGGACTGATCTTCGTGGGCGGCGACGGAAAAGAGGGTCGTCCTCCGTGATGGAGCTGACGTCGTCTTGGTGGCGATGAACCAGTGCGGCGGGGGGCGCGCGGTGTGCTGGGGCGGACTCACT